TATATCATATCATTGTTCAGTATGATATATCAGCATGTTACGTGTACATGATATAAAATAATAAATAATATTTTGATTAATAATAATTATTCAATCGTTAATTATAAAAATTTATTGGGTCCAAAATAAAATGATAAGAATTTGATTGAAGAAAATAAAAAAATAACAATTTATTCAAATTTTTCAAAAAAAATTTAAAATATTATACCCAATTTATTTTGAGATAGAATAAGCTCTTTTATTGAAAAATAAATAAAAACGTCTTTTCACATGAATATTTTAAAGTTTCATGCTTTTATCTTACTTTACTTTGTTTTTATTAATTTTTCAAGGTATATGAAAAGAAAACTGGTAACTTCTTTTTATAGTAGGAAGATATTTTATTATTTTTCACGAAAAAGAAAGAGAAGAAAATATCAAAAGTGTTAGCCAAACAGTTGTAGCACCAGGGAACCGACAATGGAGCCGAGCTGGTTGAACCCCACCATACAGTTGGCTCCAAATGGCGGGACCCCAACTTTTTATTACTTAATTTCTTGTCTCATTGAACTACTTTCGAACCTTTCTTTTGCCCTCTTTAATAACCATTTAAACTTTTTCTCTTTAACGTTCATTCATCTCTTCATCCTCTACCCTTGTTTCTTCTTTTTCTCTTTTGCTTCTTCTCTTTCTTCCTTGCAACTTTTTCCTTCATAAATTCTATAGAGAAAAGGGTTGAGAAAGGGGGAGGGTTTGTTTGGAAATTGGTTAATTTGAAAGTGTTGAAACAAGGAAAAAATGAGGGAGGTGATAAGCATTCATATAGGACAAGCTGGAATTCAGGTTGGAAACGCCTGTTGGGAGCTTTACTGTCTTGAACATGGAATTCATCCTGATGGGATGATGCCTAGGTGAGAATGTGTGTGTGTGTATGCATGTAGATGTATGTTGGTATGTTAATGTATGTTAGCATGTCACATTTCATGATCATCCTCATTCAATCTTCTTCTTTGGTTGGAATGGAATTTTGTTAAGTTTTTTGAAACTGGGTTTCTTTTCTTGGTGGTGTTCTCTGTGATTCTTCTGGTAGTATTTGAAAGTTTTTGTTGTGAATTCTGTTTCATGAAATGGGATATTTGGTCTAATATGAACTGAATTGTATAGAATTTAAATGATTCTGTTCAATTTCGATGAATTAAAGTAATATTCCATTTTTTTAATTGCATTTCCTATTTCCTTTCCAATTTGGCTATGGAATAAATTGTTTGTAAATATTATAATTTAAATGGTAGCCAGAAATTCTACCAATATGATCCTGAGGCGTTGACTTCAAACTATGCTCAGATGGTGAAGGCAGCAGAGCTATCTCCTCTGTTTGGTGCTGGATTTTTGTGTTGAACTTCCAGCAGGAATGGGAGGATCAGTTTTTTTTAAAATTTTATGTACTGAAATTTAAATGATTTCCTTGAATTTATAATGAGTTTACATAATTATAATACAATGCATTTCTGTTTATTTTTATTCTCCTCATTATATAGGTTAATGTATTGAATTCCTCTTAACTTTTGCCATTGCTTTATTGTTTTCTAGTGAGGACTTTGGACAATTTGATTAAACTTCTTGCCCTCTAATTTGGCTTTCTTTTGTGCTATTGTGCCTTAACTTCATTATCTTGCCTTACTCTTTGCTTATCATGGCTCAAATGACGGCTTTACTAGCAACAAACGCGTGCAGGCAACTGGTTATTCTTCTTGATGTAATTTCAGATGTGAAATGTCAAAACAGAGATAAACATAGAATGAGATTCATAAATGGATCATTAACTATGTCCTTCATGGTTTTTCATGTTATTTGAACCTAACAATATTCTTTGTGTTTACTTGCAGTGACACCAGTTTAGGTGCTTGCCATGATGCTTTCAATACCTTCTTTAGTGAGACTGGGTCTGGCAAGCATGTGCCAAGAGCTATATTTGTTGATCTAGAGCCCACCGTTATTGATGAAGTTAGAGCTGGGACTTATAGACAACTCTTTCATCCAGAGCAACTTATTTCTGGCAAGGAAGATGCTGCTAATAACTTTGCTAGAGGACATTATACAGGTACAAGCGTCTTTTTTGCATTTCCAATATATCAATTTTATTAGATCTGATCACCGGCTTAAACTTCTTCTTTGGTGCTGTATGCTGCAGTTGGTAGGGAAATTGTGGATCTTTGCCTTGATCGAATAAGAAAATTGGCTGACAACTGCACTGGTTTGCAAGGATTTTTGGTATTTAATGCTGTTGGTGGTGGAACTGGTTCTGGTTTGGGCTCATTGCTTTTGGAGCGCTTGTCCGTAGATTATGGAAAGAAGTCAAAACTTGGCTTCACCATCTACCCTTCTCCTCAGGTAATTCCTTAAAAACTTGAACAAAAAGTATAAGAAAGATAATCTAGTTGCTGCTCTAGTACAGGTTGCTTTTTCTCATATTATTTACACAATTCACTGAAAAATTTTTCCCAATTGTGCAGGTTTCTACTGCAGTTGTGGAACCCTACAACAGTGTGCTTTCAACTCATTCTCTCCTTGAACACACGGATGTTGCTGTGCTTCTTGACAATGAAGCTATATATGATATCTGTAGGAGATCCTTGGACATTGAAAGGCCAACTTATACCAACTTGAACCGTTTAATATCCCAAATTATCTCTTCCTTGACCACTTCATTGAGATTTGATGGTGCCATAAATGTGGACATTACGGAGTTTCAGACTAACCTTGTGCCATATCCTCGTATCCATTTCATGCTCTCATCTTATGCCCCGGTAATCTCAGCTGCAAAGGCTTACCATGAACAGCTATCAGTTCCTGAGATTACAAGTGCTGTTTTTGAACCCTCAAGCATGATGGCCAAATGTGATCCAAGGCATGGGAAGTACATGGCATGCTGTTTAATGTACCGTGGAGATGTTGTACCTAAGGATGTCAATGCTGCTGTTGCTACCATCAAAACTAAGCGGACTGTTCAGTTTGTTGACTGGTTAGTATATATCTCTTACATTTCAGTTCCAAATAATTATGTACAAGCAATCCTGTTATCATTATCACATAGAGTTTGCCAAGGGCAAAACATCAATTTTGCCATTCAGTTTGTTATCTGAATGATGAGATGCGTCTTTTCTTTCAGGTGCCCTACTGGTTTCAAGTGTGGTATCAACTATCAGCCACCCACAGTGGTACCAGGGGGTGATCTTGCAAAGGTGCAACGTGCAGTGTGTATGATCAGCAATAACACAGCTGTGGCAGAGGTTTTCTCCCGAATTGACCACAAGTTTGATCTCATGTATGCCAAGAGAGCATTTGTTCACTGGTATGTAGGTGAAGGAATGGAGGAAGGTGAATTCTCAGAAGCCCGTGAAGATCTTGCTGCTCTAGAGAAAGACTACGAAGAAGTTGGGGCAGAAGGAGCCGAAGATGATGAAGAACCAGAAGATTACTAGATAATATGTTTCATGAAAGCGGCAGCTAATGGTCCTCCACGTTCCTCATCTCATTTTGCTTCTTCAGCTATTTAATTGCTGTAAATTTGTCCTTGTACTTCATCTGTTGAATTTGTCTACCTTTTTATGTCTTGGCTCTGCACTTGAGTGGTTTTAAGCGTAGTTGTGAGAATTTATAGTTTCTGTCCTACTAAATGTGGTTCTTTCAATGTCTAATAAAGCTTCTATTTTCTTCTATGAACGAGACTTCAATTAAATCAGTAGCATTCTCCCTGAAATTTGAGAACATCCAGAAAATATCTAAAGCGCATGGAAAATTGTTCTGTAATCTTGAATGTGATATTGGTCCCATTGGAACTCACTGAACGATTTCTTTAAAGAAAAAAGATAGTATTATCTAGACCTTATCCTCTTCCATCCTCAATAATTGGTGGCCACTCTTGCTAATTTGGGTGCCTTTCATATGTCCTTATCATCGAGCTGTTTGATTAAAGAAAATAAATGCTTCTGCAATTTTTTCCGCATCAGCATTATCTCGATTGGTTTAGATATGCTATCAACAAGTTGATTTTGTGGGTCATGGAACCAATTAGATAAGGGTCTTGACCTTAAATTCAAGTTGCACCTGTAAAAAATAGAAATTAGAAAGTAACGGATTCCCAGTTTTTCTGTCTGGTGATGATTACATATGTTGCTACAAGCTGAGAGGTGTGGAATTGGAAACAGATGCTTTGCATCATAACATACATGCAGGGTTGAAAGCAATAAACTAAGGAAACGAATATGCTAAATTTTCTCTACCAATGAGAAAGCTAGACAGGGATGGTTTCAGCCTCAAGGTGGATTACTAGTTCCAGGGATGATGAAACTGTCAAAATGGTAATGCAGCAACAATCATCTGTTCGAAGGTTTTATGGTTAGCATGGAATGTTGAAATGTATTAATGGACTGAGATATGGTTACCATAATGTGATTGGATGCATTAGAGATTCTTTTTGCAATCATTTGAGACTGTTTCAAAGTACTCAAACCACATGAAGTGGGGGCCATGGTTGATATTTTTTCCTTTCTCTTTTTGATTCATTGGTTGTTTATACGCAGTAGAGAAAGCCATCTTCCGCCCTTTTAATTTTCCTACCCCAAACAACAGGATGATTCGAACCCAAGACCTCAAACTTCTACAAGGACACACATGCGCCATCAGGTAACAAAAGGCAAACTGGAGAATCTCATTGCAATATCAGAACTTCATTTGGCATAGCAAAAGAAAGATTTTCTACCAAGACAAAGCCTTTGCCCCCTTTGATTATACATGCATGTTTACAAAATTAGGCAGGTGAAATTGAAGAAGCATTACCATTCTAGGCCTTTGATTAGTGAATCTGAAGTTCTAACTTGTAAGTAATGCCTCTGAAGGAGCTCAATTTGATGATTTATAGGGTAGATGGATGCATGAAAAGATTGTATCAGTGCAGAAATTTGGATGCATCTACAATTTCAAAGAGAGAGAGACAGAGAAGGGGAGAGAATTTACAAAGATGAGGAATAATGGCATATTTAAATCAGCATGATTGCTTAGACTTTGTATTGAGAGATGGAGGAGACCTTCCAAAGGGATGGTTATGACATCTCCATGTGGTTTTTTTCCAATTTCATTTTTTGTGTTGACATTACAAAATGGAAATCATCTTTAATCTCTGGCTATCGCTTGTCCTTGTAACCTTACAATAACTTGCAACAAAACCTACATCATCTAAGTCTGTTGATTTTAAAAGGAGAAATGAAAACAAAGACCAAATGAAAATAATATTTTAGCACTTAGCAGAACAAAGAGCATAATGGTGGAAGATCCCATAAGGCTTCAGCAGAATCATGGACAGTTTCCATGTACTCCTGCACTCCATTCATTGCATAAAGTGAAGCTGATATCTGCCTTTCGACTTTCATCCTTTGGAATTCTGTCAACTCAGGGCCAGTTTCCTCAGGCAAAAGAACATTCTTTGGAAAATTCATGATTTCTTGTGTATAAAGAAACCTATCAAATCCTGGCTCAGAGGTATGAGAAAAATCTGATTGAGATGAAGCAAACTCAAATCCCCTTGTGCAGTGGCTCATATCAGGCTTATATGCATCTCCAAACAACTGAGTATCTTGAACCATTCCAGTAGGAGAGGAATTATCATTGCTTAAGCCTCTACTACTATTGCAACTACTACTGCTAGTACTACTGCTGGGGCTGGGGCTGGGGCTGGTGCTAGTACTTGCAGAGGTAGTCGTTGTGGGGGCTGAGACTAGAACACTTTGCTCTTGAGCTCCTTTTTTGCTGTTAAGAAGATTCCGAATCCGAGAAGCAAGAGGAGAATCCAAGGACACCTGTGTAATGAAGTTGGTTCGGGTGTTGGATCCGCGGAGAAGGCAAGCAGCTTCATCATAAGCTCTAGCAGCTTCTTCAGCAGTCTCAAAGGTGCCAAGCCACATCCTGATCTTCTGCGTTGTGTCCTTGATCTCAGCCACCCATCTACCAGAAGGCCTTTGCCTCACACCAACAAACTTGTTAACCTTACCGTTGTTTTTATCCCTTCCCTTGAATTTGCCCCCTTTGCTAACAGGAATATTGCTTGATTTTCGATGCTGTTGCTGCTGCTGTTGTTGTTGGAACTGAATTTCCATTGGTAACTGGCACAAACAGAGATGTAGGGTTGAGAGCAAGAGGGATAAAGTTTGATATGAGAGAGACAAAATGAAGAGGGACTTAGGGAACCATATTTAGCTATCAACGGAAGAGAAGAGGCTGTCTACATCTGCTTGGCAGGTTGCAATGGACAATGGGGATTTATATGTTTGAAAGGAGGTCTGAGTTTTCTATAATCAATTTGGCTTAGCTTATCCCAGGGTTCATTATGTTATGTTTTCTTGGGTTTGTCATGTCAGGGTACTTATTATATTGTAAATGGAGAGTTGGGGACAAATTATCCCTCAAAGGAGACTCATTTTGCTAACTGTAACCTTTGTTTTGACTTTCACTGAAATGCCTTCTCTGCCCCCAAGTTGTGATATTTTTAAGCATTAAAGCCAATAAGAGAGAAAAATCAAAATTCTTGGAAGAGTTGGCAAAATTTTGTCCACGGTTTCAACCAAGTTTTTGTTATATCTAAACAAAGAACATGGTTTAGGTACTGCCTCTTTATGACGTTTCCATCCTTGTCATTTCTTTTGCCTGTTGATGACAATTTTCAGTTTAAAATTTTAATTGGCTGAACACATAAATCAAATTAATCAATTATGTCAGGTATAGGTATGTTTTGATTGTTTTTATAGCCCCCTTTAACCGTTTCCAACATTCTCATTTAGAAACAAAAAACCCAAAGACAGAATGATGTCTTTGGCATCTTTTAATCTATATGAAGACAAGTCCAAATTTTCAAGGACATGAATGTCATTGTAACTGTCATCGCGAGAGCACTTGTGAGACAACCTCAACTTGTTTAAGGTGTAGGGGTTTTCGGCCCTTGTCCCCTTCCCCTTGCCCTCCCACCCTAAAACCAAGTCAACATAAGACAAAAAGAATTCAAGAAAGCCCCAAAGCCTGCCACTTGGAGGGCCACGGAGAATCCATCTAGATGAACACAAAAAACCACTGCGTACTCGAGGGAATTGGACCTGGTCATGACTCACCGGTCACCCATGGCTCTTAACTGACAAAACAACATATCAAATCGTGCACGCTCCCTTTGTTTTTCTCTTAAAAACTATCCTCTTACATCACTAAACAAAGATGTTTATTTTGTATTAATTTTTATTCTAATATTCTCTCTTATCTCTCTATTAGTTTATGATTAAGATATAACATAGCTATCATCTTTATGTTCGACGACTTCAATACAGTATTAGCTTATCTAAGAAGCCTTTAATTAACGTCCAAATCTCTCTACAAACAATGCTGTTTATGTTTAACTAGACATTGATTGTTTTGTTGAAGAGTTGGAAAGCCTACTATATATTGCTTTTAGTTTTTTCCATTTTCTTAATGATATTAATCAATTGGAGGATACCATGATTAAAGGCATCTATTTGCACTTTTAAAACTTCCTTACCTTAAAATGAGCATGCTTTTTCAGTTTCGAAGCTCCACAAGTTGGTGTTCATGACAGGTCAGGCAAACCCTATGTCTTCGCAGGAACCTGTTTTTCTCTTTAACAATCGACTGTCTGACTGCATATTTATTTGTGGAGAAAGCAACAGCTTCCATAATATATGAATTTGCAAATAGTTTAGAATTTAGGGCTCCATCCTGCTGAGACTAAGTGGAGGTGATATTCAAAGACAGACATAAAAATTATTTTAAATAGAATCATAATTTAAAAATATTAATATTTAAATTATAAAAAAAAATTAGGTAATATCTAAATATTAATATATAAATTACATTTTACTAAATTTACTTTGATTTCGATTTCAAATCTTTGACTCCACCCTTAAAAAATTACAAAAAATAAAAATAAAAAATTCATTATCATCATCATTAACCACATAAAAGTCTAACATAAAGAATATAAGGAGGAAAAATTTTTGACACTTCAATAAATAAGTAGTGTCATGCGACAGTACTTATCTTAATGGAAGTCTGTCCATGGTGAGATTCATGAAATAAGTTAAAACCTACCTCTTATTTTGTAGACCAAATATCACACATTTATGTATCAACAGAAATCCCACCCAGAATGAAATTTGAACACGTCATATATTCATGGGATAAGATCACAGCTTATTAATACCGGAACAAAACACGAATTAGGAAACATAAAATCAAAGCCAAAAATTACAAAGTAACAACTTTATTGAACTATTTTTCACATTCATATAATAAATACACATGCACCAAAACTGTTGCAAGAACCGCCTCCCTCTTGTTTCAACCTCACACTGTCCTATTTTTACCAAAAGGAAAGGACCAATGCCAAGACCCCCACTATTATGCACATTCTATACCAAAAATTTTGCTATATCCAACCTTCAACCTCATCCGACCAATTAAGCACTCACATTGGTGAAAAACAATGTCAAAGAAATTATAAAACATGCTATCAAAACAATAAATAACTGAAAACATTATACACACTGACGCAACCCCCCCTCCCCTTTTTTTCCACTTTCATCACCAAAAATAATATAATATTATATCATATAAAGATAAAAACACACCCATCCCAAAATTGCAGAAGGCTAAGAATACAACAGGTGGCACTTCTCCCCAAGGAAGCAAAATACCAGGATCAATGTCACAACGGTTAAGATGATAGAATTGATTGCAAAGCAAGCTGCTGCTGTGGCTGCAGGGATGACCAGGTTGATGCTAGTGTAGATGGAGGCAATGATTGCTGAAGATGCCTTAACAGAGTAATCATTCTACTAGCCGTTTGCTCCGTTGCCAGATCTTTACGAGCACATAAAACCTATATCATAAATCTCCAAATAAATAATGAAGGAAACGAAAATCTAAAGTGCAAAAGAAATGGGCAGTCCAAATACGGTAAAGATGATACCTCTGCAAAAACTGATACTATCTTGGGAAGATATTGATTGTTGGGCCCTAAAAGTTCCTGATCTGACCTGAAAACAGATGCAATCACTTTTCAAAATGCTCAACCAGTAAGGCAGAAGGAAAAAGAAACCTAATAAATAATCAGGCAAGTAAACTTTTATCAGAATTTTCCAATAACTAGCAAGTCCTACCTTTCAACCATTGAACATAGCTGATCATGAACAAGCTTGGCCTCAATCAGATCACCTTTTATCGGCAAGCAACTTAACCAAGCAGGGACAATCTGCCAAACAAAACAATGGACACCATAAGAAAGTCACACCTCGATTCGTATCTAACTTATTAAGGGGACCTTGACATTAACCAGCAATGATCTCGAACAAAATAATTAGGTCACTACGTGAAATTCTTATTAGCAAGGCAAAAGCCTTTGGTAATGTTAGCATAAAGAACCTGAATCTGCAAGTAAATCCACTCTCTCACTTACAAGGTAGCTGCTATGCCCTTGATTCTACAATTAATGATTTTAAACAACAGCTGCAACCAGAAACAAAAACACCATTTTGCATGCTGCCAAATGAGTTCATCTGGAAGGCAGAAACCAAAGGTTTATAACCCCACTTCCTTTTTTCTCTCCCCTTTTGGTTCAGATACCACCAGGTAAAGGGCCCAATTCTTTTAGCCAATGACCTGTCAGGTCATTGGCATCAGCAAATCAACCTAAAATTGTATTCCTTGGCTCATCAGTTATATTTCTGAGCCCTGTGTTTTTTTTTATCTTGGATTTTGAGGTGCAGAAGTGACTGGCAACGAGGGTTCTGCTGCGTAACATTTTTAACCATCTTGGTGTTGACTTGAAGCAGCATTGTATTCATTTCTTAATGAAATCTTACTTTTTAACTTTCAAAAAAAAATCAATCTAAAATTATGGACCACACATAACAATAGGGAATACCAGAAGGTGCAAGACTTATGCCATTGAAATAATGCCTCATAAATCTTAATTATGACACATTGACATGAACATTAATATGAACTATTGCCTGCAAATGCAGGCAGAGATTGAGCAAAATGATAATTTTAATAAAAATTAAGCAAAATATACAGAAGTGAGATTGTGCAATGATTCAAGTACCTGAGCTGCATCTATACTATCCCGATGAAATTGGCATATTTTCCCAAGGGCTGAAACAGCATTGTCATAAGCCATCACATTGTCTGCATGCAATGCATTAGGATGTCTAATAACAGCATCCAGCCTCGAGAGGGCCTCTATAAAGAAGGAAAAAATAAATAAATTATCCTTTTATTAAAGCTAATAAGACAATAATTTAAAGGAGAAAGGTAGCAATGCAAGTGTGAAGCAACCTCGAACAAGAGGCTTGAATACAGATCCACCAAACTCCGCACAAACACCAACCCCATAAACTGCTGCCTGGAAAAACAAGGAACATATTTTTTCAATGCAGTCCATATTGACTAAAGCACAAGACAACTATTTATGATCAGGACACAAACCTGACGAACATCAGGATTTTCATCATTGCAAGCTTCCAATAGGAAAGGAAGATATGTGTCATAATACCTGTCCCACAAACATTCAGCATAAATATCTAAAAGGACTTTGACAATTGGCATTCTGACAATAATTGAGTCGGAAACCACTTACTTAAGGGCTGCCTCACGACAATGCTCCGCAACATCATCAAAAATACAAATGGCGATTCTCCTTTCTTCTGCTGTTTTATCCTTACCCTGTATAATCAAGAAATAAAATCAGCCAGGTTAGAGCCTAACACCTCTGGTTATGCTGTCATAATTTTCTATCCGTTTTCTCTCTAAAATAAAGAAGAAAAGGAAAGGGAAGAGGACCAAAGCAAATTGAGACTGCTTACTCAGTTAATCCACAGAGGCAATTCACATACACACATAAATGGGAAATATAACAAGGACAAAGAACTCACCCACATAGGTGTTACATAAGATGTAAGCTCCTGGAAGAAAGGTAAGAAGGATGCCTTGAATGTTTTGATCAATGTGCCCAACAAATCACCAACCTTGATCAAGAGAAGAAATACAGGGCAAACAAAGATAAGAGAATTTCAACCTAGCACCAAAATATAATTCACCAACTCATAACTAAAAATCCATTAGGATTGGAAACATACTTGACCGAAAACTTCTTCTTCTTGCTCATTTTCCTCCTCAAGCATTTCCCCTTCTTCCGCATCAAAGTCCTCCACTTTAGCCCTTTCTGCTCTTTCGTGTTTTCTAGCTGAGCTAGCTGTGATCACCTGTTTAATCTCATCGACGATGCTCCTTACCTGGCCCTCATCTAGAAATGGTCCAGCAACCTGACAGATAGTGAAAGAGGGCATCAGCATAAGCTCAACTACCTCCAAAGGAAAAGCAAACA